AAAGGGAAAGGGGGAAAAAAGAGAGGAAGGGGGTAGAGAAAAAGGGGAAAGGGGGAAGAGGTGGGAAAAGGGGGAAGGGAAAGGGGGAAAGGAAAAAGAAGAGAGGGGAAAGGGGGGAAGAAAAGAGGAAGGAGGGGAAAAGGAGAGGAAGGAGGAAAAAGGAAAAGGGAAAGGGGGAAGAGAAAAGGAAAAGGGGGAAGAAGACAGGAAGGAGGAAAAGGAGAGGAAGGGGGAAGGAAAAAAGGAAGGGGGAAGAAAAAGGAAAGGAAGAGGAGAGGAAGGGGGAAGAAAAGGAAAAGGAAAAGGGGGAAAGGGGGAAGAAGGGGGGAAGGGGGAAGAGGGGAAAAGGGGAAGGGGGGAAAGAGAAGAGGAAGGAGGGAGGAAAGGGGAGGAAGGAGGAAAAGAGAGGAAGGAGGGAAAAAGAAAAAGAGGAAGGGAAAAGGAAAAGGAGAAGAAAGGGGGAAAAAAGAGGGGAAAGGGGGAAGAGGGAGAAGGAGGAAGAGGAGAGGAAGGAGGAAGAAAAAGGGGGGGGAAAAGAGAGAGGGGAAAGGGGGAAGAAAAATTGGAGGAAGGGAGGGAAAAGGAAAAGAAAGGAAGGGGGAAAATGAGGAAGGAGGAAAGAGGAGGAAGAAGGAGGAAAAGGAAAAGGAAGGAGGGAAAAAGAAAAAAGGAAAAAAAAGGGGAGGAAAGGAAAGAAAGGGGGATTAAGGGGGAAGAGGGAAAAGGGAAAGGAAAGGGAAAAGGGGAAAAGGAAGGAAAAAGGGAAAGGGGAAAGAGGGGGAAGGAGGAAGAAGGGGAGGAAGAGGAAAGAGAGGAAGGGAAAAAAGGAGAGGAAAAAAAAAAAGATTAAGGGGGAAGGGAGGGGAAGAAAGAGGAAGGGGGAAGAAAGGGGAGGAAAGAAAAGGAAAAGGAAAAAAGGAAAAGGGGGAAGAAGGGGAGGAAAGGGGGAAAAAGAGGGAAAGGGAAAAGGAGAGGAAGGAGGAAAAAGGAGAAGGAAAAGGGGGAAGAGAGAGAAGGAAAGAAGAAAGGGGGAGGAAAAGGGAAAAAGAAAAAAGGAGGAAGAGGGAAAAAGGGGAAAGGGGGGAGAAAAAGAAAAGGGAAAGGGGGAAAAGGGGGAAAAGGAAGGAAAAAAGAAAAAAGGAAGGAAAGGGGAAAAAAGAGGAAGGGGGAAGAAAAAGAGGAAGGAGGAAGAAAAGAGGAAGGAGGAAAAGGAGGGAAAAGGGGGAAGGGGAAAGGAAAGGAGGAAGGGAAAAAAAAGGAACGGAAAAAGAAGGAAGGAAAGGGGAAGAAGAAAGGAAGGGGAAAAAAGGGGGAAGGGGGAAAGGGAGGAAAAGGAAAAAGAAAGGAAAAGGGGGAAGAAAGGAAGGTGGAAAGGGGAAGGAAAGGGAAAAAAGGGGGAAGGGGAGAGGGAAAGGAGGAAGAAAAAGGAGGAGGAAAAGGAAAGGGAAAAGGGGAAGGAAAAAAGGAGGGGGAAGGAAAGGGAAAAAGAGAGGAAGGGAAAAAAGAGGCGGGGGAAGGAAAAGGGAAGGGGAAAAAAGAAGAAGGGGGAAGGAAGGAAAGGGGAAAAAGAGAGGAAGGAGAAAGAAGGAGGAAAGAGGGAAAGGGAAAAGGGGGAAGGAGGAAGAGGGGAGGAAGGAGGCAGGGAAAAAGGGGAAGGGGAAGGGGGAAAAGGAAGGGAAGGAAGGGAAGAGGGAAGGAAGGAAAAAGGAGAGGAAGGGGGGAAAAGGAGAGGAAGGGGGGAAAGGAGAGGAAGGGGAGAGAGGGAAGGGGAAAGGGGGAAGGAAAGGGGAAGAAGGAAAGGGGAGAAGAGGAAGGGGGGAAGAGAAAAGGAAGGAGGGAAAAAAAAGGAAGGGGGAAGGGGGAAAAGGAAGGAAAGGGAAAGAGAGGGGAAAGGGGGGAAAAAAGGGGAAGGAGGAAGAAAGGAAAAGGAAAAAGGGGGAAAAAGAAGGGGGAAGGAAAAGGGGGAGGGAAGGAAAGGGGGGAAAAGGGGGAAAGGAGAAAAGGGAAGGGAAAGGGGGAAAAGGGGAAGGGGGAAGAGGAAGGGGGGAGGAAAAGGGGAAAAGGGAAAGGGAAAGGAAAGGAAGGGGGATAAAAGCCAAAGGAAAAAAAGGGGAAAAAAAAAAGGAAAAGGGGGGGATTTTAAATTTTTTTTTAAAAAAAAAAGGAAAAAGGGGGAAAGGGGGGAGAAGTAATAAAAAGGGGAAAGGGGAAAAAGGGGGGAAGGGGGAAAAAGGAAAGGGGGGAGGATGGAAGGGGGAAAAAAGGAAAGGGGGCCCGGAGTGGAAGGGGAAAACAAGGAGGGGGAAAAGGGGGGAAGGGGGAAAAAAAGGGGGGGGAAAAGGGAACCCCATTCCGGGAACAAAAGGAGGGGGGGGAAGGGAGAAATCCGGGTAAAAAATCCCAAAGGAAAAATTCCCAAAATTTTAAGCCCCCCCCTGGTTCCCTTCCCCCTCCCCTTCCCCTTCTCTCCCCCTCCACACAGGAGGTGGGGGCCCGGAAACTTGAACCCCACCCCCTGGAAAATACCCCACACAGGAGGGGGGCCAGGGGCGTAACCCCCCCCTCTGGGTAACTACCCCCCACGGAGGTGGGGGCCCCGGAGCTGTGACCCCACCCCTCTGGCAACTACCTCCACACAGGAGTGGGGGGAGGAGCGGGGAAACCCCCCTTCTGGCTAACCCACCTCCACACGGAGGGGGGGCCAGGGGCTGTTACCCGACCTCTCTGGCTAACTACCTTCCCCACAGGGGGGTGGGGGCCAGGGGGCGTTACCCGACCTCCTGGCTAAAATACCTCCACACAGGAGGGGGGCCAGGAGCTTTGACCGACCTCTCTGGCTAACCCACCTCCCCCACGGAGGGGGGGCCAGGAGCGTGACCCCCCCTCCCTGGCAAAATACCTCCCCACGGAGGGGGGGCCCGGACTGTTTACCCGGGCCTCTTTTGGCTAACTACCTCCAAACCCGGGGTGGGGCCCCGGAGCTGTACCCGACCTCCCGGGTAATACCCCCACACAGGAGGGGGGCCGGAGCTTTTGAACCCCCACCTCTCTGGCTAACACCTCCACACGGAGGGGGGGGCCCCGGGGCTGTACCCGACCCCTCTGGCTAAAATAACCCCCCCACACAGGAGGTGGGGCCAGGAGCTGGGAAACCCCAAACCCCCCTGGGTAATACCTCCACCCCGGGGTGGGGCCAGGAGCTGTTTTTCCCCACCTCTTGGCTAAAATACCTCCACACGGGGTGGGGCCAGGAGCTGTGACCCGACCCCCTCTGGCTAAATACCCCCCACCAGGAGGTGGGCCAGGAGCGTTACCCCCACCTCTCTGGTAACTACCTCCACACTGGAGGGGGGGGCCAGGGGCTGTTTCCCCACCTCTCGGCTAACTACCTCCCAAAAGGAGGGGGGGCCCGGACCCGTTACCCGACCCCTGGGAAAATAACCCCCCACACGGAGGGGGGGGCCCGGGGAAACTTTTGGGCCCCCCCCCTCCCCTGGGGTAACTACCCCACACTGGAGGTGGGGCCAGGACGTTACCCGACCTCCCTGGGCTAACCCACCTCCACACGGAGGTGGGGGGGGCCCGGAGCTGTTTTACCCCCACCTTCTGGCAACACCTCCAACGGAGGTGGGGGCCCGGAGCTGTGACCCCACCTCCCTGGTAAATACCCCCCCAGGAGGGGGGCCGGACTGTGACCCGACCTCCCCTGGTAACTACCCCCACACGGAGGGGGGGCCCGGGGGCTGTACCCCACCTCTCTGGCAATCCTCCACCAGGAGGTGGTCCGGAGCTGTTACCCGACCTCTCTGGCTAACTACCCCCCACCAAAAAGGGGGGGGGGCCAAAGGGGCTGTTAACCCCACCTCTCTGGCTAACTTCCCCACGGAGGGGGGGCCAGGAGCCCGTGACCCGACCTCTCTGGCTAATACCTCCACACAGGAGGTGGGGCCCGGAGCTGTGACCCGACCTCCCCCGGCTAACTCCTCCCACAGGGGGTGGGGCCCGGACTGTGACCCCACCTCTCTGGCTAAAACCTCCACACGGGGGGTGGGGCCCGGAGCTGTGGGCCCCACCTCTTTGGCTAACTACCCCCCACCCGGAGGTGGGGCCCGGAGCTGGACCCGACCTCTCTGGCTAACAAACCCCCAAACGGAAGGGGGGGCCAGGACTGTGGGCCCAAACCCCTCTGGCTAAAAAACCTCCCACAAGGAGGTGGGGCCAGGAGCTGTGACCCCCACCTCTCTGGTTTAATAATCCTCAACAGGAGGTGGGGCCAGGAGCTGTGACCCGCCTCTCTGGGTAACTTCCCAAAAGGAGGTGGGGCCCGGAGTGTGACCCGACCTCTTGGCTAACTACCTCCACACAGGAGGTGGGGCCCCGGGAGCTGGGGACCCGACCTCTTGGTTTAAATACCCCAAACAGGAGGTGGGGCCCCGGAGCTGTTTTTCCCCACCTCTCTGGGTAAATACCTCCACAAGGGGTGGGGCCGGAGCTGTGACCCGGGCCTTCTGGCAAACCACCTCCACACAGGAGGGGGTCCCGGAGGGTGTGACCGACCTCTTGGCTAATACCTCCACACGGGGGTGGGCCAGGACTGTACCCGACCCCTCTGGGTAATTTCCCCACAAAAGGGGGGGTGGGCCAGGAGCTGTGACCCCAAACCCCTCTTTGGGTAACTACCTCCACACAGGAAAGGGGGGCCAGGGGCTGTGACCCGCCCCTTTTGGGGGAAAATTAAACCCCAAAAGGGGGTGGGGCCAAGGGGCGGGGACCCGACCCCCTTCTAACCCTCCACACGGGGGGTGGGCCAGGAGCGTGACCCCACCTCTCTGGGCTAACTACCCCACCCAGGAGGGGGGGCCAGGGCTGTGACCCGGGCCTCCCTGGTAACTACCTCCACACAGGAGGGGGGGCCCGGGCGGGGACCCGACCTCTCTGGCTAACTACCCCACATAAAGGGGGGGCCCGGGGCTGTGGGCCCCACCTCTCTGGCTAACTACCTCCACACAGGAGGTGGGGCCAGGAGCTGTGACCCGACCTCTCTGGCTAACTACCTCCACACAGGAGGTGGGGCCAGGAGCTGTGACCAGACCTCTCTGGCTAACTACCTCCACACAGGAGGTGGGTCCAGGAGCTGTGACCCGACCTCTCTGGCTAACTACCTCCACACAGGAGGTGGGTCCAGGAGCTGTTACCCGACCTCTCTGGCTAACTACCTCCACACAGGAGGTGGGTCCAGGAGCTGTGACCCGACCTCTCTGGCTAACTACCTCCACACAGGAGGTGGGTCCAGGAGCTGTGACCCGACCTCTCTGGTTAACTACCTCCAAACTGGAGGTGGGGCCAGGAGCTGTGACCCGACCTCTCTGGCTAACTACCTCCACACTGGAGGTAGGGCCAGGAGCTGTGACCCGACCTCTCTGGCTAACTACCTCCACACAGGAGGTGGGGCCAGGAGCTGTGACCCGACCTCTCTGGCTAACTACCTCCACACAGGAGGTGGGGCCAGGAGCTGTGACCCGACCTCTCTGGCTAACTACCTCCACACAGGAGGTGGGGCCAGGAGCTGTGACCCGACCTCTCTGGCTAACTACCTCCACACAGGTGGGTCCAGGAGCTGTGACCCGACCTCTCTGGCTAACTACCTTAATAATATTATATTACTTTTGTTATCAGTATTTTTTTTTGTTTTTTCTTTTTGGAAAATGCTGACAAAATTCTTGGGTTAATATTATATATATTTTTGAATGTTATGTAATATATTGTTGATTTTTGTCTATGTTTAAATGACGGCTAAAACACCTGCTTCTTCCTTAAATATCCACTAAAACACCTGCTTCCACCTTCAACTCCACCAAAACACCTGCTCCCACCTTCAACTCCACCAGAACACCTGCTTCCACCTTCAACTCCACCAGAACACCTGCTTCCACCTTCAACTCCACCAGAACACCTGCTCCCACCTTCAACTCCACTAAAACACCTGCTTCCACCTTCAACTCCACCAGAACACTGCTCCACCTTCAACTCCACTAAACACCTGCTTCCACCTTCAACTCCACCAGAACACCTGCTTCCACCTTCAACTCCACCAGAACACCTGCTTCCACCTTCAACTCCACCAGAACACCTGCTTCCACCTTCAACTCCACCAGAACACCTGCTTCCACCTTCAACTCCACCAGAACACCTGCTTCCACCTTCAACTCCACCAGAACACCTGCTTCCACCTTCAACTCCACCAGAACACATGCTCCCACCTTCAACTCCACCAAAACACCTGCTTCGTCTTTGAACCCCCATTAAAACACCTGCTTGGGGCTTGAACACCTGCCAGCAGCAATGGTGTGCATCTCCTCATACGTGCAATGAAAGAACGATAAAACGAGGCATAAAACGAAAGGTTTAATGTGATTCTGACGATTTAAAACTTCTCTCTGGGGAAACATTTGACATATGCGAGGTCTGCTTGCAATATTTTTGCTTCCGGAATCCCTCTCCTTGCAACACTTTGTCTCTGATGTTTCTGCAACACAGTGGTCCCTGATGTTGTCTCTGCAACACAGAGGTCCTGATGTTGTCTCTGCAACACAGAGGTCCCTGATGTTGTCTCTGCAACACAGTGGTCCCTGATGTTGTCTCTGCAACACAGAGGTCCCTGATGTTGTCTCTGCAACACAGTGGTCCCTGATGTTGTCTCTGCAACACAGAGGCCCTTGATGTTGTCTCTGCAACACAGAGGTCCCTGATGTTTCTGCAACACAGTGGTCCCTGATGTTGTCTCTGCAACACAGTGGTCCCTGATGTTGTCTCTGCAACACAGAGGCCCTTGATGTTGTCTCTGGAACACAGAGGTCCCTGATGTTGTCTCTGCAACACAGTGGTCCCTGATGTTGACTCTGCAACACAGTGGTCCTTGATGTTGTCTCTGCAACACAGAGGTCCTGATGTTGTCTCTGCAACGCAGAGGTCCCTGATGTTGTCTCTGCAACACAGTGGTCCCTGATGTTGACTTTGCAACACAGTGGTCCCTGATGTTGTCTCTGCAACACAGAGGTCCCTGATGTCTCTGCAACACAGAGGTCCCTGATGTTGTCTCTGCAACACAGTGGTCCCTGATGTTGACTTTGCAACACAGTGGTCCCTGATGTTGTCTCTGCAACACAGTGGTCCCTGATGTTCTCTCTGTAACACAGAGGTCCCTGATGTTGTCTCTGCAACACAGAGGTCCTTGATGTTGTCACTGCAATACAGAGGTCCTTGATGTTGTCACTGCAACACAGAGATCCTTGATGTTGTCTCTGTAACAGACGTTTCTGATGACTCTGCAACACAGAGGTTCCTGATGTAACTGCAACACATAGGTTGCTGATGTTGTCTCTATAACACAGAGGTTCGTGATGTTGTCTCTGCAACACAGAGGTCCCTGATGTTGTCTTTGCAACACAGACGTCCCTGATGTTGCAATGTGAAGGTTGCAGAGTTTACGATCTCCTCTGGTCTTGTTAGGTAAGACACATGCAACAGTTAGACAACTTTATTCCGAAACGTTTCGCCTGCACAGTAGGCTTCTTCAGTCGAGTACAGAAATTAAGTAGGAACAGTAGAGATGTGAAGACGATGTAATCAGTCCATCACCCTTGAAGTCGTAGAATTTGAGGTTGTCAGTCCCTCAGCCTGGAGAAGTTCAGTTCCAAAGTCAGGGACTATCTGAAGATCAAGCGACAGTGCGGAGACTTAAATACTGTCGGAAGGAGAGGTGCAGAGTAGTAGTAGTGAGAATGTAGCCACTGAGAGGTCACGTCCCTCTCAGATCCAACACTTCTCATTTGAAAAACTTGTCCAAGGTGTTTTCTGTACCACGATGCCATGTGTTGCAGTGTCTGACAAGATGAACATCAAAATGGTATACAATACCGACAGGTATACAATGGTATACAATACCGACAGGTATACAATGGTATACAATACCGACAGGTATACAATACCTGTCGGTATTGTATACCATTTTGATGTTCACCCTCTGGTCTTGCATTAATGAAGGGGTTGACATGTGCATCACGTCTAATGTGTATGGATGTATGCACATATTTGTACTCAGGTGTTTGTGGTTGCAGGGGTCGAGTCATGGCTCCTGTTCCCGCCTCTTCGCTAGATGCTACTAGGTCCACTCTCTCCCTGCTCCAAGAGCATTATCGTACCTCATCTTAAAGCTAGGTATGGATGTTTATCTTGTGTGTCTGTGTGTTCGTGTGTGTGTGTGAACAAGGTGGCCTAAATCTGGCAATTAAATACAGTAATCCTCCTGAGCCTCTGACCAGACATTTTATACACACCTCTCAAACTACAACAAATTTGAAATTTTTGTGGTATTATCTTGGTGGTATTATCCAGTTGGTATTGGTGGTATTACCATGGTGGTTTTACCTTGGTGGTATTACCATGGTGGCATTAAGATGGTGGCATTACCTTGGTGGTATTACCATGGTGGTTTTACCTTGGTGGTATTACCATGGTGGTTTTACCTTGGTGGTATTACCATGGTGGCATTACGTTTTTGGTATTACCAAGGTGGTATTACCAAGGTGGCAATACCAACAAGTTAATACCACCTTCGTAATACCAACAAGGTAATACCACCAAGGTAATATCACCATGGTAATTCCGAAATTGTAATACCACCATGGTAATTCCACCATGGTATTACCTTGTTGGTATTAGTGTTGGTATTACCTTGTTGGTATTACCATAGTGGTATTACAAAGGTGGTGTTACAAAGGTGGTATTACAAAGGTGATATTACCATGGTGGTATTACCTTGGTGTTATTACTATGGTGGTATTACCATGGTGGTATTACCTTGGTGGTATTACCTTGGTGGTATTACAATGGTGGTATTACCATGGTGGTATTACCATGATGGCATTACCATGGTGGTATTACCATAGTGTTATTACCATTGTGGTATTACTTCGATGGTATTACCATGTTAGTATTACCATGGTGGTGGTATTACCATCGTGTTATTACCATGGTGGTATTACCATCGAAGTATTACTTTGGTGGTATTACCATGGTGGTATTACCATGGTAGTATTACCATGGTTGCATTACCATGGTGGTATTTCCATGATGGTATTATTTTGGTGGTATTAACATGGTAGTATTACAATGGTAGTATTAGCATTGTGGTATTACCATGGTGGTATTACCATGGTAGTATTACTTTGGTGGCATTACCATGGTGGTATTACCAAGGTAGTATTACCACGGTAGAATTACCATGGTAATATTACCATGGTAGTATTACCATGGTAGTATTACCATGGTAGTATTACCATGGTAGTATCACCATGGTGGTATTACCATGGAAGTATTACAATGGTGGTATTACCATAGTAGTATTACCATGGTAGTATTACCATGGTAGTCTCACCATGGTGGTATTACCATGGTAGTATTACAATGGTGGTATTACCATAGTAGTATTACCGTGGTAGTATTACCATGATAGTATTACAATTGTAGTATTACCATTGTGGTATTACAATGGTAGTATTACCATGGTAGTATTACAATGGTGGTATTACCGTGGCAGTGTTACCATGGTGGTATTACCATGGGGGTATTACCATGGAGGTAATACCATGGTAGTATTACCATGGTAGTATTACCATGGAGGTATTACCATGGTGGTATTACCAAGGTGGTATTACCATGATGGTATAACCATGGTAGTATTACCATGGTGGTATTACCATGGTGGTATTACCATGGTGGTATTACCATGGTGGTGTTACCATGGTGGTATTACCATAGTGGTATTACCATGGTGGTTACCATGGTGGTATTACCATGATGGTGTTACCATGGTGGTATTACAATGGTGGTATTACCATGGTGGTATTACCATGGTGGTATTACCATTGTGGTATTACCATGGTATTATTACCATGGTGGTATTACCAATGAGGTATTACCATGGTGGTATTACCATGGTGGTATTACCATGGTGGTTTTACCATGGTGGTATTACCATGGTGGTGTTACCATGGTGGTGTTACCATGGTGGTATTACATGGTGGTATTACCATGGTGGTATTACCATTGTGGTATTACCATGGTGGTATTACCATGGTGGTGTTACCATGGTGGTATTGCCATGGTGGTGTTACCATGGTGGTATTGCCATGGTGGTGTTACCATGGTGGTATTACCATGGTGGTATTACCATGGTGGTGTTGCCATGGTGGTATTACATGGTGGTATTACCTTGGTGGTATTACCATTGTGGTATTACCATGGTGGTATTACCATTGTGGTATTACCATGGTGGTATTACCATGGTGGTGTTACCATGGTGGTATTGCCATTGTGGTGTTACCATGGTGGTATTACCATGGTGGTGTTACCATGGTAGTATTACCATAGTGGTATTACAATGGTAGATTTAAAATTATTGTAAAGCCATGGTAGTATTACCATTGTGGTATTACACTGGTGGTATTACCATGGTGGTATTACCGTGGTGGTATTACCATGGTGGTATTACCATGGTAGTATTACCATGGAAGTATTACCATGGTAGTATTACCATGGTGGTATTACCATGGTTGTATTACCATGGTGGTATTACCATGGAGGTATTACCATGGTGGTATTACCATGGTGGTATTACCATGGTGATATTACCATGGTGGTGTTACCATGGTGGTATTACCATATTGGTATTACCGTGGTGGTTACCATGGTGGTATTATCATGATGTTGTTACCATGGTGGTATTACAATGGTGGTATTACCATAGTGGTATTACCATGGTGGTATTACCATTGTGGTATTACCATGGTATTATTACCATGGTGGTATTACCATGGAGGTATTACCATGGTGGTATTACCATGGTGGTATTACCATGGTGGTATTACCATGGAGGTATTACCATGGTGGTGTTACCATGGTGGTGTTACCATGGTGGTATTACCATGGTGGTATAACCATGGTGGTATTACCATGGTGGTATTACAATGGTATTACCATTCTGGTATTACCATGGTGGTGTTACCATGGCGGTGTTACCATTGTGGTATTACCATGGTATTATTACCATGGTGGTATTACCATGGAGGTATTACCATGGTGGTATTACCATGGTGGTATTACCATGGTGGTATTACCATGGAGGTATAACCATGGTGGTGTTACCATGGTGGTGTTACCATGGTGGTATTACCATGGTGGTATTACCATGGTGGTATAACCATGGTGGTAATACAATGGTATTACCATTCTGGTATTACCATGGTGGTGTTACCATGGTGGTGTTTCCATGGTGGTATTACCATTGTGGTATTACCATTGTGGTGTTACCATGGTGGTGTTTCCATGGTGGTATTACCATGGTGGTATTACCATGGTGGTATTACCATGGTGGTATTACCATGGTGGTATTACCATGGTGGTGCTACCATGGTGGTATTACCATGGTGGTATTACCATGGTGGTATTTCAATGGTTCTCGTAAACTGTTTAGGAAAATGTTTTACTTGTAAGACTTATGTTCCTGCCCATTATTTCTTCTACTGTTCCACCTCTCTTAAGTACTTATGTTCCTTCCCATTATTTCTTCTACTGTTCCACCTCTCTTAAGTACTTATGTTCCTGTCCATTATTTCTTCTACTGTTCCACCTCTCTTAAGTACTTATGTTCCCGCCCATTATTTCTTCTACTGTTCCACCTCTCTTAAGTACTTATGTTCCTGCCCATTATTTCTTCTACTGTTCCACCTCTCTTAAGTACTTATGTTCCTGCCCATTATTTCTTCTACTGTTCCACCTCTCTTAAGTACTTATGTTCCTGCCCATTATTTCTTCTACTGTTCCACGTCTCTTAAGTACTTATGTTCCTGCCCATTATTTCTTCTACTGTTCCACCTCTCTTAAGTACTTATGTTCCTGCCCATTATTTCTTCTACTGTTCCACCTCTTTTAAGTACTTATGTTCCTGCCCATTATTTCTTCTACTGCTCCACCTCTCTTAAGTACTTATGTTCCTGTCCATTATTTCTTCTACTGTTCCACCTCTCTTAAGTACTTATGTTCCTGCCCATTATTTCTTCTACTGCTCCACCTCTCTTAAGTACTTATGTTCCTGCCCATTATTTCTTCTACTGTTCCACCTCTCTTAAGTACTTATGTTCCTTCCCATTATTTCTTCTACTGTTCCACCTCTCTTAAGTACTTATGTTCCTGCCCATTATTTCTTCTACTGCTCCACCTCTTAAGTACTTATGTTCCTGCCCATTATTTCTTCTACTGCTCCACCTCTCTTAAGTACTTATGTTCCTGCCCATTATTTCTTCTACTGTTCCACCTCTCTT